GAGGGAGGGGAGAAGGCCCGCCGCTGCCAGCGCCGCATGGGCTTTGCCCGGCGGACGCCCTTCAGCAGCGGCAAGGAGGAGGAGGGGCCTCTCGCCGGCGGCAGAAATGGGTCACCCGGGACGCGCGTCGGGGGAGCGAGTTGGGGGGGGGGCAATTACCTTTAAAGACCTTTCCATCTTTGTGTTTTATTTTTCCTTGGTGACATTTTGTGTTTCTCGAAATACAACTTTAACCTATTTTATAGCTTCTATATTAATGATGTTCTAAGTTGTACTATTAAACCATTTATGAAAACAAGTACTATAATATAAACTTCTTGTAGTCAATCTTGATAGCTTTTAGGCATACAGGTGGTCAAACTTTTGAAAGTTTGATAGCATGTATTCTGAAAGGACTTTGTTGGCAATTTGCAAGCCATGCTCTCGGGGTTGCATCCACTAACATACATAGCTATTTTAGAATATATGCATTACCGTCTCAACTTTATTTCTGTAATTAACCCTAGCAGGCTGGATCCGGCAATGGAGCTAGAGCTGGCGTTGCTATGAAGGTGAAGGAGGCTGAACATATGTTGGCAAATTTTGAAGAAGAGGGAGTGGAGATAGATGGCAACATAGCTAGTATTATCAATGATGAGATAGCTAGAATTAAAGCTGAAGCTGAGAGATAAATAATTGGAAGCTACAACTTATTTGATTTGCACTCAAATGAAACAATCCTAATATGCACATCGTTTTGATATAGGGAGAAGATTATCAATGTGCTGACAAGGAACGGGCGGATGGTACTGCTCACTATTGTATCTGCTGCTGCTGGTTTCTTCCTGGGAGGGGAATGTTACGAACGGGCCCTCTATGAGCAACTGGCCATGATTTTTGGTGAACCATAGCGTAGGGCGGCTTACGGGTCCGCTCTGCTTATGGTATGTAAAACCAAGCAGGTAGTCTTGCTAAAACATTGTTACCTAACTATGGTATGGAAAACCTGTTTATGTTGTCTAATAATTGTTGTGCCATACTGGGGATTTTGGCAGGTAATGATGTAACTCTTACTGTTAACTCCATGTGCCGTTCTAAGCTGCATGGAGAAGGTGATTTCTTAAGTACTGCATGTTAATTAGTGTTTGGTAATTGAATCTGGTCTGCGTGGTGATTATCTATGGATTATCTGTTGTGATAATTTATAGAATAATTCATGGTATGACACTTAATTGAATGGTGATTTAGTATTTCGCTTCACTCGCATAGACTGCTTGCAGAAATCATACATTGTCACTGTTGTCATATATTGGAATCTCCGCTCTCAAAAAAGAAAAAGAACCGGCTTTGGCAAAGCAGCTAACCGAGTTGCAAGTTGTTGTTTTCCTTCTTTTTAGAGCATCTCCAGCCGTGCCCCCAACAAGCCTTACCAAGGCTCTTTTTTATCGCTGGCGCTAAAAAATCGGGTCAGTCGCGCTTTAGAAGCCCATTTTTCACTAGTTAGGACTGAATTTGACATCGGCAGACCCAGGGCGAACCCGACGTGTTGGGGCGTCGGGGGAAACGGTTGTTGGCACGAAAACAAGCGGGCCTGCCGAGTCAACGACTCGGTACCTTCGTCGTCCTCATCGCCTCGGTTCCCATGGGAATCAATGCGAAGGCTGCCGCGCTACCGGGCCGGTCAGCCTTTCATTAATGCCTCACGGACGGCGCAATGAAGGCGCGGCGATGCGCGTCCCACCCGCTCCCACCATGCGTACACACGGCAGCCACCCTCTCGCTGCCCACCCATGGCTATAAAAGTCGTCCATGCCTCGTCGGTGAACACACTCCCTCGCCACAGAACCCTCTCCCCTCTCCCCAACACCCCTCTCGACCTCTCACAGCCGACGCGCGTCTTTCCTCTCTCTCCCCCGCCGACGAACAATGGCGAGCGCTACCCAGAGGACGGTGCGACGGCCAACGGCTTCGGCCGCCACCACCTGCACGAGGCACGCCTCCTCTATGAGGCCGATTACCCGGCGCCGCGGATACGTGGATGCCGGGCTCGTGGAGGTTGAGTGTCGTCGGCGTCTCGGTGCCTCCAGCGCTGATCGGCGCGCCGAGATCGCGCTCATCCGGTCGTCGCTGCCGGAGCAGGCGCGAAACCAGCCGAAGTACGACCATGACAGCAACACGCTGTGGACGGTGTACTTCGACCGCCGCCACGAGGAGCAGCTCACCTCCACCAACGGCGTCGATCCCCCGTGGCTGCCTCAACTCCGAGGGGCGGTGCCAATGGTGGTGTGTCCCCGGCCGCACCCTCGAAGCCGCCCTCGAGTGCATCGAGGCTGGCACCATGCCACACTTGGAGTACCCGGCGCCCCCTCCTTCTCTCGCAGCCGCGGCACCTCTTGGACGCCACGGCAAATGGAGACGGCAACCTCCTCGTCGTGAGGGTCCCTTCCCTTCGGATCGCCAGTGCTCCGCCCCGTCAAGCCGGAGCCGCAAGAGACGCCTCTGGGGCATCGCACCCGCGGCGGCGCCTGAGTCATCAACGAGGACGGCCGTGGCCCCTCTCCTCCCTCTTCCCCGCCTCGTCCGGCCGAAGATTGAGTCGGGGCTGCTCCCTGTGAAGAAGGGGCATGAGGCCATGGCCGCCGCTGACGAGATCACCCTCAAGTGGGCGCGGGAGGACTGTCCGCGAGGAGATGGCGCACCAGCGCTGCTCCCTCGAGGAGATCGCCGCTCGGCGCCGCGGGCACAAGGAGGGCGGTTCGTCATCGTCGACGACAGCGACAAGGAGGCGCCCGAGCCGTCCAACCCCCCACGCATCGGCGACGCTGGTCAAGGGTGTAACATGGACGGCGGCGACTACACCAAGTTCTACACAGGCTACTCGGCGTGTAGAAGGCGGGCGGCGGAGGCGGTGCAGTGGTTTTTTTAGTTAGTTTTTAAATTATGTTTTCGTTTTTTTGTACAAATGTCAATGAAATCGCCTAGTTTGGCCGAATTTGTGTTGTGTTTGACCGAATTTTTGCCGAGTTTGGTTTTCAAAATAACGGTGTCTGGGGCGGCCTTGGGCGGCGGTTAGGAAACCAACCGTCCCCATGCCGATTTTTTCGCCGGCGCGCCCTCAGACGGCGCTATTTCAAGCCCCTGGGAGGCCGAACGAGTGGAGATACTGTTAAAAACTGGCAAACATGCTTGTGCATGGCAATGGGAAAATAAAACACATGCTTCTAGCACAATAAGCATGACTTAAAACCCCTTCATAGATTCACGTTGTCTATTTTAACATACCACCTCATCCATTTATTGCTTATCCTCATTCTTGCCTTCATCAACCATGATCGAAGCGTCCATCTGATCGCATTGCGTTCGAAAGTGGCCAAACGATCTTGGCCATTGCCTAAACCCTAAACCCACTCACACTTGCCATTGAACCACACCATCATAAACGAATTTCTAATAGTTTTAAAACTAATCTCGGCGAGCTAGACGTGACGTCCGCCCTCCCGCTACAACCTACACCGCCCATTGAAAAGCCTCGGACCATCCGTTTCGAAAACAAGAAAAGGCCTCTGCCCACTGAAAAGGTGCAACATGTTGGAGGGCAAATGGCAACGCTCTCCTCTCGTTTTTTGTTGATAATAATATATTTTCGTACATGTCATGTGTGTGTTACGGATGGAAGAGGTAGGGCCGGTTGCACATGTTGAGTATATTGATTATTAGGAAAGACGAGATAGACTAGGATTTGTTCTGGCTTGTCTTCTACTCCAAGTAAATCATTGTACTTCTATATATGCCCACGAGGCTCAAGCAATACAACAACTATTCCACCAAATCATCTCTCTCCTTTCTAACAAGGTATTAGCCTAACCGATCCAAACCCTAGCCGCCGCCCGTCGCTTCCGCTCTGTGCCGCCCCCGAGATGGTCGATCTCCATGACCGCCATCGGGGGCCGCACCGCCCGTATCTAGGGTACGTCCGCCGGTCGTGTTGACCGACTGCCCTAGAGAATCTTTTTCTGGAGCCTTTGCTTCGGATTTTCTCTCTCACCAGTTGCTTGTTTGGCCTCTATTTTTTGGTTTATCGGTCTAAGGTCGGATTGCGTCTTCCATCGCCATTCGTCGTCGACAGCGCGCCTCAACTCCGACCTGATAGCGACTACACCAGTCTGTTCTCCCCATGGCTTGCCAAGGCATGCGGCCTCCTATGACTGCATCACCACGACCAAATCTTAGAGCATCTCCAGCCATTCGGCCCCCCAGAACGCCGAAAAAGAGCCTCCTGGGGGCGAGCCGGCTAGATTGGCGCGTGGGGGCGACCTAGCTCCCAGTCGTGGCCCACAGGTCGCCCTAGTTCGGCAATGTCGCGTACGAAAATATGTGCAAACTTGATACGTCTTCGTCATATCTACTTTTCCAAACACTTTTGCCCTTATTTTGGACTCTAACTTATGTGATTTGAATGGAACTAACCCGGACTGACGCTGTTTTCAGCAGAATTACCATGGTGTTGTTTTATGTGCAGAAAACAAATATTCTTGGAATGACCTAAAACTCCACGGAACATCTTAGAAAAAATAATAAAAAATCCTCGCCATAGATGAAGACCAGGGGGGCCACACCCTTCTCACGAGGGTGGGGGCGCCCCCCCCCCCCCTTAGGGCACGCCACCCTACCTCGTGGGCCCCTTGTTGCGTCTCCGACTCCAACTCCACCTCCATATATTGAGTTTCGATGAGAAAAAAAATCAGAGAGAAGAAATCATTGCGTTTTACGATACAGAGCCGCCGCCAAGCCCTAAAACCTCTCGGGAGGGCTGATCTGGAGTCCGTTCGAGGCTCCGGAGAGGCGGATTCGTCGCCGTCGTCATCATCAACCATCCTTCATCACCAATTTCATGATGCTCACCGCCGTGCATGAGTAATTCCATCGTAGGCTTGCTGGACGGTGATGGATTGGATGAGATTTATCATGTAATCGAGTTAGTTTTGTTAGGGTTTGTTCCCTAGTATCTATTATGTTCTGAGATTGATGTTGCTATGACTTTGCTATGCTTAATGCTTATCACTAGGGCCCGAGTGCCATGATTTCAGATCTGAACCTATTATGTTTTCATGAATATATGTGAGTTCTTGATCCTATCTTGCAAGTCTATAGTCACCTACTATGTGTTATGATCCGGCAACCCCGAAGTGACAATAATCGGGACCACTCCCGGTGATGACCATAGTTTGAGGAGTTCATGTATTCACTATGTGCTAATGCTTTGTTCCGGTTCTCTATTAAAAGGAGGCCTTAATATCCCTTAGTTTCCAATAGGACCCCGCTGCCACGGGAGGGTAGGACAAAAGATGTCATGCAAGTTCTTTTCCATAAGCATGTATGACTATATACGGAATACATGCCTATATTACATTGATGAATTGGAGCTAGTTCAGTGTCACCCTATGTTATGACTGTTACATGATGAACCGCATCCGGCATAATTATCCATCACTGATCCGGTGCCTACGAGTTTTCCATATACTGGTTTACGCTTATTTACTTTCCCGCTTCTACTTTACAATAACTACAAAATACCAAAAACATTACTTTTGTTGTCTTTACTTTTGTTGCCGCTACCGCCACTATCATATTACTTTGCTACTAAACACTTTGCTGCAGATACTAAGTTTCCAGGTGTGGTTGAATTGACAACTCAGCTGTTAACACTTGAGAATATTCTTTGGCTCCCCTTGTGTCGAATCAATAAATTTGGGTTGAATACTCTACCCTCGAAAGTTGTTGCGATCCCCTATACTTGTGGGTTATCAAGACCTTTTTCTGGCACCGTTGCCGGGGAGCATAGCTCTATTCTTTGAGTCACTTGGGATTTATATCTGCTGGACACTATGAAGAACTTGAGAGATCAAAAAAC